GTTAACGTGCTGGCATGTTGGTCGATGAAGAAGCTTAAAGTCGAGTAGCTGAGACAAACTGCCCGAAATGCAGGGCGGAGCTGACTTTATATGCTAACTGAAAGCTATTGAAGAAAAAACGTTTTATGGTTTTATAAGACTGCAATAGATCTTCGGAAAAGAGATCTAATGAAGCAAGTGACAACAAGCTGTCCAAATCCCTTAAGAACTTTATGTGCATGGAAGCGGTTGAGTAACCTGTGTTTACTTTAGTCGAATAGTGTACAGAGCACAAATTTGAGGCGAAGTTGCGTACTCGAAGATTGCACACCGTACAAAAAACTGTTCAGGATTTAGCGGTCAGTCCCTGTCGCTTTTATGGGAAAAACTTAAACACATCCGTCTCTCACAGTATTTGGAAGAAAAGTGGTTGTAAACCAGATTACCGCAAAGGAACACCGGAACAGTGACTCAACATCTGTAAAACCTCTAAACTGAGAGAGTAATTCATCTTGCTTGATGGTATTACTTCATAAGGTCTGAACGATTTGTCGCCCTCGTTTACAGCATTCGATCTTATGAGGATGTTGCCCGTGTTAGAAGCACCAACTATGGGACTACCTAGTTAATGAGGCACTTCAGGGATGTGGGCTTTCCGAAAGGCATCAAATCCTGGTGAAAACGAGGCAGACTAATCAACTCCACGCTCTTTCCCATCGCTTCTGAAGAGATCGCTATTCGGTGAACAAATCATGCATGCTGACTTCGGAGAGACATTAAGAATTATGTGTCCACAAACCGTTACTAGAATCGGTGCGGTATTAGTGGAAGATGGGATGAATGTACTGAAACCGATGAACCTTTCTGACTAAATTTAGTTCCCCCATCCAAATAATTGGACTGCATTCAAATTCCTATATGCATCTAGAATGGCATCTAGAACGATATGTTCATAAAGAAAACCATTTTTCGTTGTAAATGCATTATTGCTTTAGGTTGGGCCATTATTCCGGTTGCGAACAGATGACTGTTTCAATTAGGTGAGCTGTTGATAGGCCGACACGCTGTAATGTCGACTTTCGGACACTCGGTCGTAATCACGTGAATGCTGTCATTACGCAACTGGCACAACAGTGGCTAGTGAACTGTTTTTTTTGTATTCAAACCGAAGTCCTAAAATCCTGGTTGGCCACACCAAAGCAAGAAAGCACTGACTTCAGCGTTCGCTTCTCCTAGTGTGTATCCTTCGTCGTGCCGTGATCTAACTTCAAACATCGGATACGCGAGACGGGTGTGCTGACTTTACGCGATCAGCGCACACTGGGTGTAGAATAGAATATCACTCGCAAGCAAACGAACGTTTACACGCTTGGGCGGCGTAACTGTGGACAGTCTTGCATCTTTTTTGTCCCCTATTCTGTGGTGTGGATCAGAGCTGAGAATATGATAAGAGTTTATTCACAATTTATATAAATTAATAAAGATACTTATCCAGATGTCGAGTAACACTGAAACATAATTTTAGTTACAATATATGGAACCTAGGTCCCAAAAGGCATTTCCACTGAGAGGCTATACAAATTGGCACCCGCCATGGGGAAACCTAACAGAAAGATACATCACGATGACAAAGTACGGATGAACAGTCATCTTTACTGGTGGCATCTCCCGTCAATGACGCATTCACTTAGCTACTTGAATAGCATCTGAACCCAGGGGCCCGAACTGGCACCAGGCTTCAAGACCGGTTCCTGCCAACTGAAGGATATAGTAAGACTAGTTAGTAGTATTTATTGTGTTTGGTAACTAACAAGAGAGTTGCAATAACGTTAGTTCATCTCGCGTTCATGGGAGAAATTGATACGCGCAATTATAAGATAGTACCATAAGGTGATTACCGTGCTGGCAATGATGAAAGCTGTTACGAACACCGGTATATCTGTAATGCGTTACTCATAAGGTTGTGAAAACTCCTCAACAGCCCACGACCAGTATATCTGGTATGCATTAATCATGGACGCGAATAACCTTATGTCGAGTCAGCAGGATCCTTCGACGAATTCACTGTGGAAAGTGCGAATAAGGAAACCAATCCCCAACTGATTTCCCAATTTTTTATTCTGTCGACAAGTAAGCTTAATAATTCTTAGATCTACGGATCCCATTATTAATGTAAGTAACTACTGGGTCCATAAAGTTATCGGTTTTCTGCTACATGACTGTATGGTGACATCGACCACAGTACATCACGGCGGCTAGGTAAGAATTTACTTGAGAACACTGAATGATGTGACGGATAAAACCAAATTAGAATAAGACTGCTCCTGGATGGAAGAACAATAACCAGGGTCATGCGGATGCAACGTGGATGAAAGACCGTGGATTCCTTATAATGACAGAATGAGAGATGCAACTTTTGTCTCAGTTAGTACATTAAAAAAAAACTGTGATGAAAATTTGTCCGTAATGGCCCGATTAAAGGAGATATTTATCAGGAAAGAAATGACCCGGATAGCGGACCGTCCCTAATACAGGGGTGTGGTTATGTCCAAATACACGGGATTAATCGATTCATTTCATTCTAATTCAGGACAGTGTGTAGGTTATGACTCGAGTAGTTAGAGGGCGTGTCTCAGCTTACAAGTCAGGTCCGAAGAAACGTGAGATAAAACCTTTCATTATGATTCAACCCTGTAGGCACAGACGCACACAGAGGTGCCTATCAATTCCTGGTCGGCTTATGATAAGTCATGCAAGCAATACTTGATGAGGCCATTTGATAACAAAAGCCTGGGCAAAGACGGTTCACAATGAAGCGTTCATCTTGGTCTCAAAAGACTGCATTACGATGGCACATCCACTCATCAGCAAGTTCACGAGTCTGGACACATAACACGGAACATGAATAAAATTATGGCCACCTGACAACACAACATCCTCTCAAAAGGGGTTTTTCCAGTCTCACGGAACCACGTTTAATATCTCTTATCCGCCTAAATGAGGCCTAGTCAACGGAAATAACAACTACCTAACAAAGCAACCAATCATAGTCTTCGATTGCGGCCAGCTACTGGCCACGAAAACCGGCACTAAACAAATAACTCCTGACACACCGCTACAAAAAACCATCCTAACGGTATCGCCTTGATTGACGACGCATTTGCTCCTGAATTGCCTGGCCCAGTGAACCAACTATCGGTCATCTGTGCTGCCTACTACACCAACATTATCCTCGGAGAAGTATTCCCAATCCTTACAGACACTATATGACCTACCTATGAGAAATTTAGTGCCTCCCACCCCCCAGATGCATGTGGTCATGTTAAAGCGGTCACAAACAGAATGGCCATTATCGCGGAGTGACGGTTTGCGTACCTAAATAACCCACCAGGCTGTAATCCATCCGAGCTTTTCCCACCAGACTGGTCAGACAAGTTGCCTACCCGCCGTCCAGATTGGGTGGCGTGGCAAGCGCGACAATATGGTCAGTAGATTTTGGACTACTCTATAAATCTTATACCAATGACTGCTGCGATGGGCTCAGGCTTTTGGACCATTGGCTTTGTTTGAACACCCTAAGCCTTTTCCTGCTTTGGTTGTGGCCTCTGCTGCTGGGGCGTGCTGAGACTAGTCGCTTCACACATCGGTGAGGACAAAAGAAAACACGTGACGGCTGACGCCTTACGTCATCTCAACTCCCCTTCTGTTTCTTTCGACAAATTGCATGCAACCGATCGTACCTACCGCACCGTGTCCACAGTTAACTGTGAACTTTAAGACAGATCGGCCAACACTCGGCTTACCGAATGTCTGCTGCTGATCTTAACCCCCGCCCTTATGAAGAAGCTAGTTTCGAGTGCTACCCAACCGTGGGCTAAGATTTGCTTGCATCTGACCAGAAACCCTGCGAGATACGGCAAGCGATTGATTCCCGTAGCGCACATCCTGTCATTTCCTATTTGGATTGTCTACCGAAATTTCGTGTATTTGTGCTCTCGACTTACGCCGAGCGAGATTCGTGAGGGCCACTGTGTCAAGCCCGCTCGTAGCGCCTTGGCTCGACATGATAGTCAGCTGTCTCTTTTAATAAAGCCCTAAGGTGAAGGCAGCTTATTTCGGATAGTTTTACCTGAGGACATAGGACTTCTTCGCATTTCCTTTTCTCTAATATTTCCGAAGATTTCTGTTCCTCATGGTCCAGCACTTTTCCCAGACTCTTAGACGACCCGCTACATCTAAAAGTGCTTCCATTTCCTTCTCGTGAAATGCTAAGGTCGGTTTGACGGTAGCTTTCCAGGTTTCCAAACACCAACCCAATAACACCCACGAGAGACCGAAACAACTCAGGAATGTCGTAAGTTTCCTCCTAGTTTCCATTGTGACTAGCTATGGACAACAATGACGAGCTGCTGAAGTAACGTTTGATGTTCCGCAGTGTTAGCCCTTACAGTAAGAATTTATCACCTGAATAAGTGCTTGCTAACACTTTATGTTTAGCGAAACCAGAGTTTCACTCCACCTTGTGAGTCGAAGGCTCAAAGGGAATTATGAATGGCTGAGATTCTTTCTTGGGTGACGATAAACGCTTACTAACACTTTATGTTTAGCGAAACCAGTTTCACTCCACCTCGTGAGTCGAAGGCTCAAAGGGAATTATAAATGGCTGAGATTCTTTCTTGGGTGACAAATAAGAAGTAGTGTTCCAAGTGTTCGCACCAAACACTGTATCTGCTTACCGGGTTCCCAAAAGAAGATCCAACTGATGCTACACGTTATGTCCTTTACACTGAAATTTGTTTAGTCAGGTGTTTATACTGGTGCAGTTCCCGAAACCGAACACACGCGATACACATACCAAGATGACGGTTTACGGTGTTTCAAGTAATATTATACACGTCTCCAATAGGTTACTTGACTGGCTATTTAGATCAGCCAATTCACTTCAGTGCTACCTTATGATACCTTGAAACCATGAGTGCGAGATTCAAAGGGAAAATGAAGCGTTTAAAATCTTTTTGGACCTTTTTTTCAAAGTTTTATGCTGTTTCAAAAACACCTCAAAACAAGTAGTCATGTTTTGCCTTTGAGGAAACGAGTCACAGGTGGACTAGAAACGTGCAGAAAAGCTAAATTGGAGAGACTCCAAGAAACCGGTGTTAATGTTGAGCCGAGTGAAACATCAACGCATATCTGATAGCAAGGTTTGCCATCATATTAAGGGTAAGTTTCGTTGGCAAAATAACAACTGAAATAAAAATGGGCGCCTCATCATAGCAGGAAATCAGATGGGACAACATGGTGAATACAGAGTACTTGAAAATTTAAAGAGTACTAAGATCACAAGTTTGTCATGTATAGGTTCGACAGAAAAATTTCTCGATACTATGCAGATGAGTGCGGTTGTGTTAGGTAGGCATGTGTTTCGACTGCACATGACTTCGACAAATCGGGAACCATCCACGGTTGGCTTGTCCGGAAGCGATCAGATAGCTCCTCAGCGGCCGCCAACTCGAAAACAAGTTAGCCTCATTGGCCGCTATGAGATTAGCTCCACGAAGAGTCATAATACAACCAGTTAACTGTGAGAAGTAGGACAGATGTGCGAATCGGTCAGAAAAACTGCCAAGTACATATGCATATAATAATGATGTAACGTGGGACGAATACGTTGTGCTACATGACCAAACAACCCCGCACATTTCGTAGGAACCCCAAAAGTCTAGTGCAAGTCTATTCAGGTAGTTTTTTAATCCAATGGTAACACAAGCCATATCGTTTACACACACATGCCCGAAAACTGAGGATGTTGATCCATACAGTCAGGTTTTCATGAACCTGAACCTGATTCACGATTCAGCACTCCAGTAAAAGTCCCGACCTCAGGCTAGCAAGGCCCGAGGTTTGTATGTTTTCACCCTCCAACTTGAAGCAGAAAACACACAGTACTAATAATGATAGGTTTAACTGTTCCTTGTGACAAAACATAAATGGGATCATTGGTAGTCATAGCTGTATGTCTGTTAACGAGCCTCAAGTGATTTACGGGAAAAACGAACAACCAGCTCTCACATTGACACCGACTCCTTCGTCCAGTTACACACGCTGACGGGAGTATTGGTGACAACGGACACTGACAGAAAACTTGAACTTTTTATGAAGGTCAGGCATAAATGATACACGAAATGCATTGTATACCACATTTGACGACGTTACGTAACTGCGCGCTGCTGACGAAAAAGTGCCTCAGCAGTTCTGCTCATTGTCTTCTCTCACTCCATTTCATTCAAACGAAATTTTGGCCAGCTTCCTGCTGTTGATTTGGTGTAAGGTCACGACATCCATCATCCAAAAACTGATTAACAAATTTATCCAACAGCGAAATGTGCATTGATGGATCGTTCAGTTATCTGACTTATTTTTCCTTTCATGTTACTTCCGTATCCGGCAGTTCCCTGATAAAGTCTATAATCTGGATCTTGTCCAAGCAAGGAAACGAGTACAAACCGATAATTCAACTAAGGCGTTAGCAAGTGCATGCCTCAGACTTGGGATAAATACCTAACCAGTGTAAGGAAATTAGGATACGGTCAGTTGGCTGCATTAATAACGATGAGCACATCCAAATTCACAGATATTAACTGCATGAACATACCGAACTCACCTCAAAGGGATAAACGTAACCTCGTAAACCCAAATATACAAGTACTTCAGACATGCACAAAGATGTGGATCGCTTTCGCTGAATACCGAAAATCCATCGGCGAATGAGGCGGCAGGTAGTGTAGTAGACTACAGTTCCGATAAGCTCTCCGAAGAGCCTAGGGATGATTCCCTGTTAGAATGAAGTAAAAATCAACCGCACAGCATTAAGATACCATGAAGTTGCAAAAAGTCAAACTACAATAAGGTTAGCTAAACATAAAAATATCGAGGTGAACGATTCATCACTCTGGCAATTTTTGGCTGAAATCCAAAGGACCACCCTCCCCTCCCCCGGGAAAACGGTGAATTCCTCGGACACGCGGGCATGGAAACCTCGCTCAATTCCTTTTCCAGGACAGGCAATGACCGAAGAAAGATTGGTGAAAATCATGCAGTGACGAAACGGCATTCACATGATAACATAAAGTGCACTGAACCTGTCTCTAGACTACAAGCGAAAGGACGGATTTCACGTGTTAGGAGACGGGTAACTTTCTGACAAGTGCCAGGCTGAAGGGAAACTTCAACATGAATGCTGTACATTGCGAGCATACACCAGTCATGGGGACAATTGCCATCATGCCCGTCAACGCACTGGTGAACCAACAGCAACTTCCGATGATTGCCCAAACGTTTATAAAAGCCGGTTGCATTGTTAGTTGTCAACCGACATTTGGCTTGACAGTGAGAAAAAATAGCACGAAGACGATGAAATTCACGGGGCTTAGCGGCAGTCGTTGGCCGCTGGGTCGGTAACTTGGTTCCACTTGATTGTTGTCAAGCCAGAGCAATAAAAGGTTTCCACTCATACGCATGAGCTGCAGAGACAAATAAGAATCTTACCAACCAAGCTTACGATTAGACGTTTTTCCTGTCTTTGAATTAGTGGTGAAGCATTCGGTGCACAATCCGCGGGACGAATCCCATTGGAAATAGTGAGTGGAAACCAGCAAGAGCTAGAGGACGGCAAGCCTAACGTTATTTTTCCGCTTCTTTCAACTGTGAGGCAGTAGGATAATCTCACACCCGCTTTACAAGTGGTTCCATCGTCCGACCAGTATGTCATACCAGTAGCTAGATATACCTTTCGGACAACCTGTTGTCGAAGGGCTCTGAAATATGGTTGGAAAATTTTGAGGCGAACGGTCAACAAGCGTGGCAGATATATCCCACAGTGAGTGTCACTCATGAAGTCCTGCGATAGATAAAAGCCAGGCATGTTACATTCGTTTAAGAGTGCATTTGTTTAGGCTGAAACGGTTTTTGATTTCACAGTGCATTGTTTTGCAGAAACCGGAAAACGATGTTAAAAACCGTACAATATCAACGGACGACGGCCACATTGACATATGACGCAGAGTTCGAGATGACCCGGTGGTTAAGGCGCGAAGTTAATCACCAGAAGGGAGGTGGCTCGAACCCAACCTCGCAGTTTCCACTACTCTTGTTTAGACATCGGTAACCCGGCAATAACTCATCCGTCGTGTTCCATTCCGGTGGCATGGAAGTAGGGCACCGAAAGGGCGTTACGACTAAATGATCATAACGTATTTTGGCACTGCCAGGTCGTGTTGGTTTTGAGAACTAATTACCATAGAGCGCTTTCACGCTGTCTAACTGAAAAATACTCTGAGGGAATTAGCAGAAATAATGTGGAGCCAGTAACTGTATGGTGGAACTTGAAAGGCTGCGCACTGAAGCATTGATGTGCAGCAGAGGAATGTAGGTACCCGTTCATCCATGACCTCTAGTAATTCATTATTTGTTCCGCGTAATTCGTCACACTTGATCAACCCCGACCGAAGGTTTTCCAACCTGAAAGTATCTACCTAAGTGTGGTGGAGGCCAAAAATAAAGTCCAGTCGAGCACAGTTCACGGTAGAAAACTCAATGACTGGCCCGATGATGAGAAGCCTAGGAAGGAAGGGACCCGTTGTTGGCAAAATACACTCATTTTCAAATTAAGCTATGTTAATGAGACTCAACGGGATCACACCTCCATCCACGATATTCTATAACAACATTATGAGTGGCGTGTTGGCGCCAAGTAAATTGTTGTGTTCGTGCGCAACCGATCCCCGCATGGAAATAATAACCACTGCTTTTGACTTGTCGCTAGCATGGTATGAACAGCAGATAAGTCAGACCATTTGAGTAGGTTGTACGTGAATTACATAACCTTCCATTAAATCCGAACTCTGCAAACAATCACCGATACTGCTTCCCTTCAGATATGGACAGAGGGATATATGATCCAGAAGGATAACAATTTTCATAAATGAAACTACTCACGAGGTTGCTGAAAACTCGACCCGTTTCGCCCTGCTTGGAGTTCATCAGGTAGACGCAGTTTCCTAGTTACCGTCAACCTTATGTTCTACCTGAACCCAAATTGGACCGATTGCGACATATATACGTATTTGCAAATCAATTTGGTTTCCGCGAAAGACTCAAGTGAACCTCTCGTTTATGATATTCTTCAACTGAATGTGCTGCACACAGGCCGCCTCATGTTTCACTTGGTACGATATTCGAGATATCACAGTATAGTTTCATAAAAACAACAGGAGACTACTAGGTGTTACGTACGTCAATTAATGAGGTCAGGATATTAATAATAATAATTTTTCGGCTGTGTTCCTCTTTCAATGCCAAACTGCTATGCCACCCGAAGAAAGCGAAAGGGCTGAGATACTTCTAGGTTGGAGCAGTCAAGATGCGGAGGTTGGGTTCAAAACATGGATTTCCCGGTCATTAAGTTCGCGCCTTAACAACCAAGCTACCTGGAGCTTTCGGAAAGCAGTCGGGATATACAGAGTTCAGAGCAGTGTTCTATCCGTAGTTCAACAAGCTACTCATCCGTAAACCCACACTCAAATGATTATTAGCAAAGGAACACCACATGTCAACGTTCTAGGAAGACACTCACCTGAAAAAATCCACTAAAGCCAGTTTCCCGGTAAACTGACCGGACTGCTACAGGAAACCACGAGTACTGCGTTTCACCACCAATCAATGAAGCAACCTGTCGCACCATTACAACTGCCAAGTGGAAGGACACAAGCATAGAAGATTCTCAAATGCGAAAGGATCCCATGGAAATAAAACAGATAGTAAAGCCGATGAATACTGCGCGCTCAAATCCGCTACTAAAGAAATCATTTTTGGGAGAGGGGTCACATTAGTGACAGTTGCAGGCACCAAATTCTGAATGAAACGGGGGATAAAGTCAGAAAAAGATTGCTCAAACAAACAGACGCACGAGAAACATCTAGATATTCAAGGGGACGAAGCATGGGATAGGGATAAAGTATTGGTCCTCAGAAAAAAAATTTAAAAAATTGACAGTTCACCCTCGTAAAACCGCAGAAAGTTATCAAAGGGAGGAGCTAAGAATGAAGGGATGAGAGCCTGTCACTTACGTGCCAAGACAACATCGAAATGTTCATACAGATGCTGACAGGAAAAGCACTGCTGATATCATAGGGTGGCCGTCAAACATATACTACATAAAGGCGTTCGTATATTCCAGTTACCAAGCTCGAGGCTCACGGTGATTTCGCATAAGCTGCCACGTTAATCCGCCTTCTAATTATCTTTCACAATATTGAGAAATGCATACACCACTATATGCCCAATATCCGGGATCTTCATACGTTACGTCAGCAACCCCTCATTCGCTCTGGAGTGAAGACGCAGATAATACAATCGTACAAACATCGTCTTAGTTGAAAGAACGATCAGCGATCTCACCCAAAACAGCGGTCAGCACGGCTGACTAGCTACACTTGGATACCGTTAATTGTCCACTGTTAATCGAATCGAATAGCACAGCTCTCGCTCTTTCACTCTTCGTCCGTGCTCTTATGTGTTCTTGGAATACCATGGTCTCAACCAAATTCGGATTCTCTCCAACTGAATCTACGATTAAGACCGGACTAATTTAACCGATTGCTGCGCAAATTGCTTGATAACTTGAAGAAACCGACATCCATAGCATCGAAGTACTGCCAACAACAAATAATAACGGAGGTGCGCGTTATTTGTCTTCCATCGGACAAACAATCAAACGCCCTACTGTCTCTATAACTGAACAAGATACTGTGTGAGAATCAGTTCAGAAAGCCAGAGTACACATCTACTGATGGTCGGAAGGAATCTCGTTAGAGTGGCCGGTTAGACCTGGTATAGCAATTATGGCCAGATCTGAATCTATTTCCGGGTTAACATTATAGCAGAGGGGTTGCCAAGCCACCAGTCGTGACCTGTCGAAAAGCTTTCAGCAGAATAGGGTGCCTCAAAGAAAATAAACTGCGAAATTTCGAACGCCGTACCAACAGAAACATTAGGCGACCTTTGTGAACACACTGAGTTGAAGAATACCATGAAAGAAAGATCCAATTGGTATTCAATTGAGCCATCCATTAGGGCCATATTAGTATGCAGATGTCTATTTCATCAGAACGAGTTTAATGGTTGCTTCGTTATATATCCGGTCACCCGTTGAGGAGAGAATGAACCTTATCGTGGTAGGATAGTTTTTGTGCCACTGGATTACACTGCAACATGCCCATGCAATCTCCACAGAGACTCTTACCAGACAGTCGGTAGATGGGGATCTGAGAAACACCGCCGCGTAACCCTACATACAGGCGTGATTCGAACAGGGGTGGTAGCTTGCCTCACACACTGAGCCAAAGGCTTTAATTGGGTCAGGACCTAAAGCATACTCCTGCTACGTGTGTGCTGTAGCTGAGCTCAGATGCAACCATGAATTGACTTAACGTTTCATCAGCCCTCGGGTGGTGACACCAGCCAGGTCGCCTTATTCGCCGTGTACAGCACGGTAGATAGGAGAAATCATGCGGATACTGACATTCCCTTCTGAACCCTAAGCAACACAAACTTAATTTCTGACACACAGCTTAGCTAAAACGATTCAAGCATCCTGATCCGTCGTCGTGTCTATTGGAGTCAAGCATCGTCAGTTTACACGAAAAATTTCGTGAGTGAACCAAATTTAGTGAAATCAGCTGCACACGAAACCTTCCTGCAACTGAGTGCAAGCCCGTTTAACGTAAAAGATTCTGTCACATGCTATCGCCATCCCTTACTTCATGCTCACTAAAATTTAGCTTTGAGAATTTTCACAAGATGATGGAAGCATAGAATATGCCCTTGAGCAACTAATGTACGTTTTACATTTCTCCTGCGCGACTGCTAAGTTACAGGGTTAGGAAACAAAAATTCTGTCGCACCATATCGAGCTTGCCAAGAGCTGTGAACAGCCAGCAACCCATCTGTACCAGAAATAAAACCGATCTGTTGCCTGGTGGACAAGTGGGAAAAATACTCAAACAGACAACAAGTGATACGATTAAAATGCACCAGCTATTGGCGCATGTAGAAAGTGGGAAAAACATTGTGAAAATATATAAACTAATACCTGAAGACACATTAACGGGCCAACAAACGATACATTTGGGTTAGGCTCATCATTGTTCCGCTTGATGTGCGTATCAATGTCACCGATACGGTTGTCTCGTCCTCTGAAGGAAGATATGCTAGGATGAGGCCGCTCTTGAAGACGTATTTTCGAAGCAAGCTGTCTATTTGAAAGGCTTTTGATCGGTCTCTAAGACGGAACAACCGTAGTATGATGCACCAGATGAAAGACGAGGAGCGCATTATTCTTGAAACGTAAAGCTCAAACAAAGGTTAAACCACAACTACACCGTATTTGTTGACAAACAGAAGCAAGTAGTAGACTACGACGAAAGCCTTTAGACAGTCACCCCTTCGGAAATATGTATCCGTGCGTATGCACAGAAAGAAAACTAACTCACCAAGGAAGGGCTGTGTCAAAAGAACCTCCCACGCCTTTAGAGACATGGCTTCCGTCAACATGTGCAAGAAAACACGCCATTCGGATTCCTCCATTTGATCCTCGACTCGAAAGGCAGAGTGTCGTTGTTGGATTGTAAGATGTGGTTCGGATGTATCTTCCAAACCCGAGCCGTCTGAATAGGAGGTCACGGATTCCGGAGATCCCAGCCACGTTTCCCATACGACTGATCGACGACTAAACGCTCGATGGAAGATTTCGGAGATGAAATCTATGGAAGCACTGGCAAACACTCCGGTTGAGATGATTTTCCAAACGCCAAACGTCCGAAACGTGTGGTAAACGTATTGGAAAATATTCGGGTAAACATATATCGGGGTGGTCCAGCCAAGCATTGCTAACGGAGAATAGAACCGAACTGGAGCAAGAGGTTCGTAGCCTAACTTAATCAACGTCCATGACAATCTGAAGGGGTTGATCAGCTGACGAAGTAGATACATCTCTAGACTGATAACATCGGACCGCTCGGGAAGTTTACTGGGTCTCAGAATATGATCACTCATGGTACTGAAATAAAAAAACGGAAAAGCACTCATATATTATCCTACTGGGTCTGGAGAAAGTAAAGGAGGAAAATTTGAAGACACCGGGTAATCTGGAGTATGTGGTATTACACAAAACACATAAGCAGATTTTTGTCTCACGACTCTGTCTAAACCCTGTTCAGGGTACCTGAAGCTCTCTGGCATTTTTCACTCCTCTAGTCTTACAACATCTAGCTCTTTAAATGAAGGGTTTACTATTCCCAACGCGAGTTTCCGTGTGCTGCCGGCCCCCAATATTTATGGCGCAGGTATGTCCAATTGCCCGTCAAGGTTAGAGTACTGGATAACTCTCCTACAACAACCGTTAACGGTTTGATATCGGATTGTGAGATCTGTGGGCGCAACCTTGTCCAACGCTTCATCCCTCCTTAATATGGACAGGCTGGTCAACTCGAAGAACCCCCTCCCCACTTCCTTTACAATCCAATCGTACGGTACAGCTCGAATTAACCTCAAGATCGCCTCAGATCACAGTTATTCGCGGTACGGCTTTCTCGGGGGCGAGTCGCTTCACAGATCCAAACCTCACACTCACGGTCGAATAACGAAAGACAGTTGGGGACCAAACGACGCAACTGCCTGAATGGTGAGAATGTGAACCAATCAGGATAAAGCCTTTGTTGCACTGGATTTTCGGCTTAATTCCAATAATCCTTGGATGAAAGTTTCGGGTATTCTGCGATCAACCAATAAGTATAGCTGCCATTTTTTTCATTTTCATAAATAATCAACCATAGCTACCTTGCTCTCCAGCTTGTCGGAATCCCAGTATTCACACAACGGAGTAGATTACTCAGAAGCTACGATGTTTCAAGGGTGGCCACTTAACGGTGTAGAATGCTTATGTATAGTGAATTTTTCATCAAATTATCTATATGCGTCCTTTGTTTAAGTGGCTAACTCTTCAAGGTCATCAGTTATCACTGACTTTGAAAGCTTCGCTTGATGTAATGCGATATCGCTAAATTCGGCAAAAGATGCATCGCTCATAATGGGTGTAATTCGTGGACATAATTCATTGAAATTTATGGAATCGATTTGGCTTTATGGATGCAAAATATACGGCGGGTTCACCCCTGTCGGTAATTTTTCTTATGTGTTTGTCTGGCAGAATATCGGAGGAATATCACTATTTCCACCAACTGATTTTTCGCTCCTGACCGGATACGCCACTCAACGTAAAGTTTACACTACTATGAAAGCTTCCAGTAGTACACATTCATCGAAGAAAAGTGCTAGTTCCCCTTTCTATTGGTTGAGGTGTTCCATAAATAATAGGCCGCGCAGCTCGTCGAGGCACACTCGTCATGGCTTCCTCGTCGCAAGCGGTCGTTGCAACTGTTCCCGTGTCTGCTGAAGGATACACAGTGGACGTCACCTCCTTGTTCGTGAGTCACCTGGGTAGCCGCCTATTCAGCAACGTTCATGAATTGGTGCACTGCATTAAGCAGTTCGTGCGAATATCAGGATCGTACTACAGCGTGCGAAGCTCGAAAGCAAATTCTTCTGGTGAGAAAACGTTCATCAAACACCAATGCCACCGGAAAGGGTTTGCACGTCCTCCAACGAGGAAAAACGACGCCGGTTGCTTGACCACACACAGTGTGAGACAGACTGGGAAACTTCTTTCGGATTACTAAATCTAATATGGTACACAATTACGAGCTGCTTGGTCCCGAAGCGTCTCGGTGGTTTAACCATAACCGTCGACTGCTGCCTGAGAAACTGGAAATCATTCGGCCAATGCTTGAATGCCGCATCCGATTCTTTAACATCCAGTTCTATGTTAGGTCGAAGTTCGGCAAATATCTCACAACCAGCGATATCGGAAATATCCGGGCGCGACACATGTTTGGGCAGAACAATCCAAGTAATTCCAATTAATGCTAAAGATATGTACTTTGTGCAGGTTACATTCTCGACTTGGAGTCACAGTTCAACGGACAGAGACGAGCCCGCTGTTTGAGGGATGGAAGCAATTGAGTGACCCACTTCATATACTCCACCTCAGAGATGCTCGATCTATACAGACGGTTTCCTGATTTTTTACTCATTGACAGCACTTTTTCCACGAACCAACACAAGTATTTTTTGTATCAGTTGCTTATCGTCGATGGCTGCCGTAAAAGTCTCCCTGTGGCCATTGGTTTTCTTTGGCGGGAGCCTGAGGCAGACGCACGAACTTTGCTGCTAACGTTTCTGGAGTTTGTTGATGGCGGTTTTCTCGTCAAGTGCATCATGTCTGACGGTGTGCTTGCCATCGGAAACGCAATTGCCAGTGTATTTCCTTTTGCTAATCATTTATTATGTCGTGTACATATTATTAGGAATATTATCAAACGTTTTCCGCGATCGCAATCGTTTACGCGTTTTTTTGTTGCGATGCACACATCACGATTGTGGAAATATTTAGCTTTTTTGGATCTTATTCGTTTAACTGACCCTTCTTTTTTCATGTATATATGTTCTAAAACCTCAGTAACCGCTATTATGACTTAAAATAGCGGAGGATGCATTCAATTTTGTCCGGTGAATATTGCCAGATTGGCTTGCACATGTTGATGACCTCTGCAAGTTCGCTCCTAAACAGCAGACTGCTCCAATATAACTCACAAGCCCACGAAGACCAAGCAAAATCTATCTCTGGCACCCATTTTGAACCCCCAGATAACGCCTTCCGAGGCGGAAAAATGAGGAACAACAGTCAATCGGGACTAATTTGAAACTCCTCCAACCCATCGATGCAAGATTTTGGTAACCACACTAACCGACAAAAGCCCTTATTTGACACTCAATAATGACCTTGTGTGATGATCCAAAGAAGACTCACTGATTGATTCTCCGTCTACCTTATGACCTGGCCAATTTGATGACCTGCTCACTTGACCCAACGAAGCTTTTGTGTCAAAAGCCGAACATTGTCCAATTCAAAACTACCGATTGTTTCCATGCCTTCCTGAAGCAGACATAGAACGCATTTTTAGCAACAGTTTGCACCTGTTTTCTAGCTGTATTTCGCTGTGATATCCCGTTGTGTTTTCTGAACTTCATCCACAGCATGAAATTGCGTTGCCCAAGGTACGTAACCGAAAGATCTTATTTCCACCCAGGTTGATTAGTTCGAAACCGATGAGTAGAGAGATATTGTTAGTTTTACTTATCCAAAACTGAAAATTCCGAATTACTCCTGCCATTCAGTAAGTGAACGTAATGATGGCCAAATTAATGAGAGTTAGCGAACTTGGTGTGGGAGATTCAGTGCGGAGCATCTTGGGCTTTGCTTTGTCATCTAAAACGCTTTTGGATTATTAAATCGCGCTCCTCATACCCTAGTGCCATGATGTTCATTGAAACCTACTTTGAAAATTACGGCGGGTGATCTTTTGGATGGCTATGTCACTCACGTTTCCATATGATTTTCTGAACGTGCGTCTAGATCATAATTAAACTTGGCCCCTGGGTCGCACTTTCGAGCGTCTAAGCACATCGGTCAGTCAGACTGTTCGCTTTTTCGTAAACATTCCCAGTTAGCACGCGTCCGCTCCTGGGTGCAGAGCCTGTGCAGAATCTGTCAGAGCTTCTGCACTAATTTCCGGCATTTAAGCCGCGGGAGATTGAGTCGTTTAATGGGCATCAAAGCTTCTTTGTTTGTCTCACAGTAATAAAAAACCACAATATCCTGCATTCCTGGGTGCCTACGAAATGCAAACTGTCGTCCGATTTAGGTGGTTTTGTTTTGGTGTGCGGCGGCATTGCTCGCGGGATGCTCTGCGGCCTGCTTGTCCTCACATGCGGCTGAAAGTGAGTTTTGTTGTAATTTCATATGCTTTATTCCTGGTGGGTTTACGTGAACGAAACCGTAAAAAATACTTTTCGTTTCCAGTAGTCGTCAGTGCGCCCGAAATTCGTTCGCGTTGCTCGTGAAGGTTCTTCAAGAACAATGCTATATGGAAAATTACGGCAGGCGGTTGCGGCAAGTGGCTGTTTTCGTTGCCCGACAGATGAATGCGTCCATAATGCCTTTAGTCGACTATCTGAGGGTAAGATTCTTGATTGACCAGATGATAAGTTCTAGATAGGCCGCATTTGACCGTCCCAGGGGACAAACTAGGCCGTGAGTTACTACGCTGTTTGGCGGCGAGTTCCCCGATCCCTGTTATCAGGACTTCGGAACCAGAAAGACATTCACTACTGCGGTCCCTGGAGAACCTTTCGGTTCCTGCTTTTTGCCATAAGGTAACCCACTAAAAGTCACACTTATATTGCTTTCCATCAGTATCCATTTTAAACCATTCAAAACCAGGTAGAAGTATTTTAACGGCTGTTCGTCGGATAGCGCGAAGGCTGGACCTACCTTTACCCGGTTTAGCCGTCGTGTTGGACGAACTCAGGTACTTTTTCCGTCTCTTCCGAAGGATCCACAGACCGTGATGATAACTCCCCGTCGTTGCTGCGTGCGACAGAAGGCCGGTCGGATGTACATTCACCTTGGGTTGAAAGCAGGTTTGCTGCAACAGCTCCGTGAGATTCACACTAGAGCTACAAATATCGATATTCAAATGAACGTTGACGGTATTCGAGCCCGCAATAACTCGCGTACTCAGGTGTGGCCTATCCTCTCCCGCATAATTTCACCCTTTCTCGGTCAGCCTTTTGTCGGTGGAATATATTGTAGTAAGCAAAAAACCCAAAGATGCTCATTAGCTGATGTCTGACACGGTCGCTGAGTTGGCGGATATCTTGGTGAATGGTGTCTCCGGGACAATATTCCCGCCGTCCGTCTTCAGTGCACTATTTGCAACAGTCCTGCTAGGGCCTTTCTGAAGCAAGTGAAGGAACGTACAGGATATTATGACTATGATTGTTGTACAGAAAAGGGTGTGCATATTGGCACACGTATGACTTTTCCCTCGTTGACAGCTCCATTGCGTTGTGACTGTGATTTCCGGACCAGAAAGCAAGAGAAGCACCATACAGGTCCAAGACCGATGTAGGAGTTAAATTTTTCCATGACTGCCGGTTTCCCACCAGACTACATGCATATTGTGTGTCTTGGTTTGGTGCGGAAATTTCTCATCTTACTCAGAGCTATGCCAATTGGACACAAGGCCAGGCTTTCTTTGGAGTTCTGAAATTTGCTGAATGATAACATTGAGCAACAGAGTTTGGCTCTAAGTGTTGATTTCCCCCGAAAATGTCGAGGTGTCGTAGACCTGGATCGGTGGAAGGCATCTGAGCTACGACAGCTTCTTCTGTACACAGGACCCGTTGTTTTACGAGATATCTTACATCCTAACGTTAACGAATGCTTTATGTATTTTTCGGTAACCACTTTCATAGACTGTTTACCTTTTTTCCACAACACTATGCTGATTTTTTAGTTGATGCTTCCAAGGTTTTTGTATCAAAATTTGCTGCTATTTTTGGTCCTAGCCATATAGGGTACAACGTATACCTCTTCTCCCATTTATTCAATTTAATCGAGCTTTACCGTTGCTTGGATCGTTTTTCCTGTTTTTCTTATGAACCGGAGCTGGGGCATTTGAAGCATTACATACATGGGCCAAAACTACCAGCTGTTCTGCTTTACCGCCGATTGAACGAGCGTGTGGGATTAGATGCTGTCGAAAGGAAGATATTTTTGGATGATGTTGGTTTGCCACTGCCGGATGCCACAGGTTTGTTCATAGGGATGTCGTTTTTTCGAAAATCTTTCCCGACAACTGCATTTTGCTTGATGATCAGCCAGATGTCATTGCGGATTTTTTTAGAGATACTACTGAGTACCCGAAATTCAAAACTGCTCTCGCATTTTACACTCACGCATTGATATCAACAGACGTTTTAGTTTTTCAATGCTCCTACTTGCAACACACTCAGCTGTTTGCATCAGTCGACAAAATATCTTGTAAATGCTTAGGTTTTTCTTGCAGAGACACAGGTATATACTTCCCTATTTTGCATACCCTTATCGATTAGTTATTACTCTTACCACTGACACTTGGCAAATGCATGCATTTCTTACTTGTATAACTCATTTTTTTCGAAAAATATATACCCATATTTATGTTGGTGTTGTGTTATTCCATCAAAGCTTCCGTTTGCATGTGGACATTCTCCTGTTAAATGCCGTATTTGGAAGTTGTTTTTCAGCCATATACGCTGTTCTCACTTCTGCGGACAACTCCGTTGGCATAGTTCATGAACTGTGGTTAGTACTGTTTGATTCAGTCCTTTGGCCCTCGTGCACAGCCAGCATTCTGTATGCCAACAAACTGAGGGGTACCCTACGAAAATGTCCACTGAAGTCGTGCACGTACGAAGTGTTTCGGCAATGCATTAAGTTCATGGTTAGTACAATAATTATTGTACCACAAATTTTATTTTTCATCCTTCTATGGCCTTGGATTTGCAGACAAATATTTGGTCGCCAAAGTTGTTTCTACAATACATGCTGGTTCTTAATATTTCCCGAAGTGACGTTGAAGTTTTCACCAATCATATGGGTCCACTGGACAGAGACATTGAGCAAATCACTCTCAGAATCATGGATGAGGATTGGTTTGCCCATCTCGTCTTCTTGGCTGACAGTATATCGCTGCTCCATACATATTTGGACTTGGATGCTTAATCGTTCTGAACTGAATCCGGAGTTGATAGTCCAAAAAATTTCCACGAAATACCAGCGCATTACCGAACTCAAGGTTTGTTGCACCGACTGTACTACAGTGTGGAATTTCATAAAAGATGGTCCTCAAAAGATAGCCAAATATTAAACAGATTTCACAATTGCTGCCCATAAAGTGACGCTTAAATAGAGTTTGACAATTTCCACACTGCTATCCCCACTGGTACCTCGACTGTAGTGGGTAAAATCGAATAAACCACAGAGAGAAATTTTGTAAAAGTAACTTTAAAATACTCAAAAACACTGGTCTGATACAAAACATGGCAAAAATAAGTTTGCTTGAAAAATATCTTGATAATTTCGAGACCGCTGCAGTTGAAGACGACTCTGAAACCACTCGAGGAATGCTACTCAGCTCATCAAACTCTATGATGGTAGCTCCTCCACTTTTGTAGCGCATCCAGCATACAACACCGTATCAAAGATATTCATTGAGCATTCCACAGCCACATTTTCAAGCGGAGTGCTCCACTCTTATCCAGAAAGTCAAGGAGGGTAGTCACCAGAATGTGCAAAGCGGTAGATACAAGTATGCTAACTGTCGATTCATAGATATCGTGAACGCTTCCAACAACGGAATTTACATAGAGTGCAGTTTTTGGCAAACGATCTCATTCAGATGGAATTAAAATGACTGCAAGAGTTATGTATACAAGATCTCATATTGACGTCATCACTACACCAATGATAGACTGACAGTCGACCACAGCTATCTGTGTCATTACAAGTCAGGTTAAAACAATGGCCTGATGGGCAGCGTCCCGGATTGAGATTTCCCGGAGAAGTATTCATAGGCAACCCCAAATCACGTTAACTGATTGAGACTCGTGAGCTAGCTGCGGACAAATTGGACTCAAAACCTGATTATGGAGAAAATGCGTGAATTATGGCTATAACACTTATAGCTTGGAGGTTCCTCGTAAAAACATCTGTGAACACGCTACACATACAGTTGTTGCAGACTCTTTTGTATCCATGAGATGCTGTACTGAGCTACCTTGCCTTCTGATCCCTATCAATGAACGAAACTGGAATCCATATACAGACCTAGCAACTGCAATACCATTTTCAAGATAGAAAGCAGAGACTAATTTCCTTCTGCCTGACATTGCTGGTAATTCGTATCCTCCTCCGACATCAAGTCTAAGAGGACTCACATATTTCTTAAAAGTTTGAGTTTGCTTCTTGCACATTCACTCAGTCGCAAGTTATTTATTGTTACATAAATGAAGCATATTAATACGAAAAAATTGTTGCTCATGTTCGAGGATTAAGAATTCAGTAGTATAAAACTGACTACCTGGGTGTACATCACAATTACCCCATATGGTATGATGCACAATCATGCAAATATCGGTAGCAGTTTGGCAAGCATCCTCTGGAGTATCACTTGAGAACTGAAGAAATCGGAAAATGCGTAAGATATTTATTTCACATGAATAAATAAAAAAAGTTTCGCTTTGCGAGAAAGTTGTTTGGGCCGCATATGAATGTGCCTGGTAGCCTGGGGGTGGTGTAAACTATTGCATTCTGGAATGATTTACTCAAACTCTTAAGTTTTAACGGCGCATTGTAGGAATTTTCAAGCAATTTTTGAGTTTTTTTTCCGCAAAGCGCTTGTTTTAAAAGTCAGTCAGTTCTGCACACTGAAGTGATAGACTGCAAGGGGTTGCATTAGGATTTGGAGTGGATCACGGTCGCCCATATAATAAATACTCTAGCGAACGCATGTTACGTGGCAATATCACTCAATAAAAGCTCTTGTCATGCGTGGCACTCAGATGAAAGCATTGGGAACCGTTTTCAGTTATGACGTTATGTTGTATCACCTTCAGGCATATGAATTGGTTTGTTTGTTTGTGACGCACATGAAGAAAATCGTAGCCGGCGTCTGCCAAGGCCTGTACAAATGTTGAGCAACAAAACCTTCGGTATTATTACACAACGTCTAATGGCAAGGTATCAACAGGGCCCCACGACTCTGAAACAAGTTAAAAACCAAAAAATCCAACCGGGTAGATGAGGGAAAACACCTAAATATCGAAAGCTATCCAAGAAACCAGTAAAAAGGAAGAAGGCCGGAACATGAAGCAAAAATGGAAACGGACATATCACCACGGAGGGACAGAAGTGTAGAATTGAGGACATCTAAAAAATTAACCAGACACAATAAGTTTAAAACAGCAAATTGGATTCCAGACTGACAGTAAAGTGCGCTTCGGGACCAACTAGTTACTTTGGAGTTATTATACACAATTTAGAAATTAAATAAACACAGACAGGAGAGGAGGCATTTGCCCATTCACCCCAAACCTGACGATGTCACCTAGATTTGTGACGAAATGTTCGGGATCATATCATCAAGCCCAGCAAAGCACACAAGATGCCTGTGTTCTGTAGCATCAACAACCTTTAGTTGGGGAGAAAAATATTCGGTCGCAAGACCGGCGCAATCACCGCAATTGGTGGTGCGTCAATATATGTGTACTTTCTTGTCAAATCTCCCAAAATCTAACATTTTGGGACTTGCTTCGATGAGAATTTGGCGAGACGTTTCTCAAAGTCACAACATAGATGAACCAAGCAGACAACTTCGAAGTCACATTGGCAGCGACGAATCAGACATTAAATACGAACTACTTACACCATTACAGTAGCTAAATGGATGAATAAATTTGAGTGTCAGCTGTTGGACGTAATGTTGATGATTTTCGACCTCCTCTCGCCATTTAGGGATTTTCAACAGTTTTAGCAGCGAATTAGGTTTCCTCTGTTCCGGAGGGTTTGCGGAAATTTACGGATAGCTTCAGAAGCTGTCGTGGACTTCACTTGGTGCCCCCTGCCATAGCAGCGTAGATGTCTGTATGAAGTCGTGGAAGGACATGATGAGAACCTTACCGTTATTTTCCGGCAAAAGTAAGTCTTACTGTCGCATTTTCAACGGCCCTTTCGGGTACATTTCTGAAAGTTGTGGCCATCCAAACGGCACCCAACCCTAGAACTGTGGTCAATTAAACTGTTTTACTCATGAGTTTGGGAGCGCTAGCACCTGGAAGGAAGATCTCGCATCTTCCAGCGTCGTTGCGATAGTTGGCTGCCTGATATCTGGTCCAGGCTGAGTGCATGGCCGAACAAAACCTACCGATCACTTGGTTAAGACGTTTGAAATGGACGAGAGCACTCACTGCTAATTCAGAACAAGTAGTTAATGTATGCCACATATTGAGATAAGTAGATAGATAGGTGAATGTTTTGACCCATTTTATGATTGCGTATTTGTCTATGTGGATAATTTTCTGTTTGATTGATGAACGGTTTGTTTAATGCTTGACTGACCGCCTGATATACTGTTTAATTGTTCGAATGAATTAATAAGTGATTTTTTCAATTAATTGTTTGGTTAAATGACTGTTTCCTTGGTTGATAGGTTGATTGAGTGTTTCTTTCAAGGCAGTCCGTAAGGCAGTGTGTATGTCAAAAACATGTTGCGCATGATTTTCACCTAATTATTTATGAATGAATGATTGCGAACCAGAAGCACGAATAGTTTTGATGCAATTCGAAAAGTTTCCTGAACACCGGTCTCGGCATTTGCAGTTTTGTGATATTTTAAGCGGTCGTTCATTCATAAGCAATACATGTGGAGGGTCAACGGATTGATAGTTCAGAGAGTATCGCTAGATTTATTGCGCCAGATGCTTTCCCCATGCAGATAATAACTCCTACCTCCGAGAGGTCTCTTCTCTCTGACAAAGATTCACTAATCTACAGACTTCCAACAGGCATGTCGATGGAATGGCATGCGACGCCAAAGCAAAACGTTCCAGGTTACGTGTGGATGAAATACGTAGCGCAACCACGCACACACAGTGCAATGCATCTTGTTATTAATCAGTGCACTACTATGAACAGTGTTGTGACAAACAACATACAAAGACCATGAATGATCAGTGCCTAGCTGGGCAACCTAATACACTTGATTTACATAGGCTCTCAACCAAATTCGCCTGAACGTTTCAGTACTGAAACCTTAATATGCAGAGTTCCAGGTTCAAATCTTCCCGTCTATCAGTCACAGATCCAGTGATGACCGATCCAGTGAGGCGGGCAGTTGCAGCTGGCTTTTTGGCCTCTAAATGCAG